GTTATTTTAAAGTACTGTTCACTAAAGACTTTTTAGTCTTGTGGAATACTGTAACAACAACTTCATACTACCCTGGCAGTCAACATCTTTAGCAAGAAAACAAAAAAAGGAGTGAGTGTTCTTTATAACTACTTTTCAAGGCATCATCACTATCGCTGGCGTAGTAGTTGGGAAGTCCGGTTAAACCTTGAGCTACAAACAATGTATACTACCGAATATATTTTATCAAATTCGTCCCTTTCTAATTATTTTAGTATTTTCAATATATATCTTTCAAACGTATAATATACTTTTGCACCTTTTTCAAAATTTTCAAACCATCGTTTCCAAAGCTAAGAAGGAAACAGAGAGAAAACGTCACACTGGATGGAAACGGAAACATAAATGCTCAAAAACATTAGTATTTATCATTATTTTTCCCTCGGGTTCCTAGTAGAACATACGACTTCACTACCACACCTCCATTACACTCTGGTCTCTTCCGTATTTTTAAACCTAGCTCCAAAACTATCCACAAGCTTTCATTTCTTTCGCACATGATCTCCTCCATGTCACCCTAGCCTCAGATGCCCAAATACTCGTTTCCTATTTCACTTCTCCTCGAGGGCCTAGCACATGATGTCCCCAATCGGCCTTCTCAGTTTATCCACAACAAGATATTCAGCGAAGAGACTCTTTCCAACAGATTTATTTTCAAGCTGTACAATCGTATATATATGATAGTTGAAAAATTATATCCCGTGAGGAAAACTAATCGCTATGTGGTGATGATGACAATAATAATAGAGCGGGTGATGACATAGGCATTCGTGACTACATATTATATATCATATATTACATAATCTATTCGCTATCATTCGCATTGCAATTGTTAAATCCGTTGAAAAGAGTCTCTTCGTTGAATATCTTGTTCTTGATGTTACGATGGGAATCATTAAATTATGCTCAGTCTATGCCCAATCCATCTCCACTTCCCTCCACATATTTATTCGGTGATAGGTTCTTGGTTGCTTCGTTCATTCGTTATCAAAGTTCTTTGTTGCTTGTTCTTTCAGGCCATCTGATCCTCAGTATCGAGTGAGCGTAGGTGGCAACTGTTGATGAATGTCTGTGGTTTGTTGGAAGTGCTTTTCGTGAAGCACCAAGTTCCTCAACCATTACATAAAGACACCGACTTACTTGACTGGCACGAGTATTGAAAATCCGGATGTTGTTCACGCTTTATGCTGAGTGGAGTGGATCTCCACACTGACTTCAGATTATTGGAAGCCTGTCTTGCTTTTCCGATCCTGTTTGCTTTGACATCCTCATCTGTGATTGTGGTGCCTGTAGTTGAAACGATGTTGTATTGCGTATGTGGTAGGTGGAGGAGACTACTTCCTTTAAGTTTCTTCCGTTAATGATGATTGGTGCCTTTTGTTGTTGATGCTGTTGTTGGTTGGGTATCATCATCACCTCCGTCTCCCCGTCTTCGCTGCCTCTTCTGCCAACTTGTTAGTTTTCGCCTGTAGATCTTCAAGTTTTTATGACGCTAGAATGAATGAGGTTGATAAAGATTTGTGGCATTCCGTAGTGTTGAAGGCTCAAAAATATAGCACAGCATTATTCTTAGGATACCTATATGGAATTGCAGACTTTTGTACTGAATGATTGAATTGCCACCATCATTAGTATTTAACATTACAAGAATTCGAATTACTTTTATCAGGTTAATTAGTAGCTATTAACGGCACCAAGCGGTGATATAAATGATCAAAGTAGGGAAGCCTGTTAAAAATTTGAGATAAAGACTGACTACCTGTAAGGTGAATATTCTTAAAGAAGAATAATAGGTGTATGATAAATAATCATCTTAGATTGTGCAACTTCAGTGTTTTCAGTCCACAAGATCTTAATGAACAAGGTTTATAAAAAGAAATGAAATATTCAAGACAAGATGACATAACCAAGTTAGTATGCATTTATCTATAATCCTAATGAAGCCTATAAGAGAAACGAACCACTTTATTCAGATATCTACATACAAATAATGGGATATACACTGAATTACTGAAATCATTGCTATTCACGAATAATAAATATTATTTCACGATATAGCGTAACCACCACCCAATTTTATCATTGAGTTGAAAATATCGAGCATTGAATTCTGACCCAGTGGCTCAATGGTAATGCGCTGGCCGCGGAACCTGAAGGTCGTGGGTGCGCACTGCTAAGAAGTCCCATACTAGGATGAAACAGCTGTCCAGTGCTTCCAGGTTTCCTTTGTTCCTTCAATGATATCAGTCTACGATGAATAACAACTTGAAATATTTCCAAATCTTCACAACTCCCTCAAAGTATTAGATGATACAGTCAGAATACCGGATAAAGATATCATCATAAAAATAGTCAATGTTACAATAATTAATGTAAAAATTTATTAACTACCAGTTAATTTGTACTCATATATTGTTGAAAACAATTATTAATAGTGTAAAGTTGTTTTAGCTTTTATTTCACTAAAATCATATAACTATGTCAACTATTCTTCATAATATATTGAAAATAAGTTGACTTAATTTTAATAACTTTGCTTACGTAGCTGACTTGAAATTTGCGTACACACAATAATGGTGTAAACAGTTCTTCGGTATACTTAACCAGTTTACAGATATTTACATTAATCATTTTAATATTACAAAATTATATCTTACTGACGATAAATCATATATCAGTGTGGTAAGTTTTCATAAATTTTGAACAGTAAAATTATTAACTGTACGTTTGCGTGATCTGAAGTCATTGAAAACCTTTTTTTGGCTGTAGAATATTCCAATAAATAAATTCTGTAATGAACTGAATACCTATGAGTTATTTTCCAGTAATACATTGTGAATCTAAATTTAACACATATTGATTAGATATTTACTTAACTATTAATAACAGAATGAACGGAAAAATTGGCCATTGATACATATTACTACCGACAACAGTATCAGCGACAAGCACCAGTCACCTTTAACGGGAGAAACTTAAAGGAAGTAGTCTCCTCCACCTACCACATACGCAATACAACATCGTTTCAACTACAGGCACCACAATCACAGACGAGGATGTCAAAGCAAACAGGATCGGAAAAGCAAGACAGGCTTCCAATAATCTGAAATCAGTGTGGAGATCCACTCCACTCAGCATAAAGCGCGAACAACATCCGGATTTTCAATACTCGTGCCAGTCAAGTAAGTCGGTGTCTTTATGTAATGGTTGAGGAACTTGGTGCTTCACGAAAAGCACTTCCAACAAACCACAGACATTCATCAACAGTTGCCACCTACGCTCACTCGATACTGAGGATCAGATGGCCTGAAAGAACAAGCAACAAAGAACTTTGATAACGAATCAACGAAGCAACTAAGAACCTATCACCGAATAAATATGTGGAGGGAAGTGGAGATGGATTGCGCATAGACTGAGCATAATTTAATGATTCCCATCGTAACATCAAGAACAAGATATTCAACGAAGAGACTCTTTTCAACGGATTTAACAATTGCAATGCGAATGATAGCGAATAGATTATGTAATATATGATATATAATATGTAGTCACGAATGCCTATGTCATCACCCGCTCTATTATTATTGTCATCATCACCACATAGCGATTAGTTTTCCTCACGGGATATAATTTTTCAACTATCATATATATACGATTGTACAGCTTGAAAATAAATCTGTTGGAAAGAGTCTCTTCGCTGAATATCTTGTTGTGGATAAACTGAGAAGGCCGATTGGGGACATCACGTGCTAGGCTTTCGGGGAGAAGTGAAATGGGAGACGAGTATTTAGGCATTTGAGGCTAGGGTGACATGGAGGAGATCATGTGCGAAAGAAATGAAAGCTTGTGGATAGTTGTGGAGCTAGGTGTAAAAAATACTGGAGAGACCAGAGTGTAATGGAGGTGTGGTAGTGAAGTCGTATGTTCTACTAGGAACCTAGGGAAAAAGAATCATACATACTACTACTGAACAATTTGATTAATAGATTTGGCAGGCAAGCACATTAGAGTGATATAAGCATCTGATGGTCGTTTCATTCTTTTAGGAGCTGACCTAATCTAATGTGTACCCGTACAAGTTCAGCGCATACAGCTGAATTACTTCTGATCACCAGAATCTGCCCTGCTAACTTTCATAGGCCGATATTCATGAAATGAGATAATCAATTTGCGAATAATATGCAAACTAAACAGTTTACTTTGATATTCTTCACAGCTGAGTTGGTTTATAACTATTCAACTGTGGTCAAAACTGACCACAGTAAGATAGAGCGGAAACACATACCATAAGGTTGTTGATTACTAGTCGCGGATGTGTATAAAGCAATTGTAGACGCTTAGGTAGACGTCGGTAAAATTTTCAAGTCTGATGATTGGATGATTAGTTAGAATGTCATTAGTACTTCTAACTTTTATTCTAGTTCTTAAAGATTAGTAGCATGGTTTTCCCATTTTTGCACTATTTTCAATTGTCTTCTTACTATTTTTATGTATTAGTCTCACTGGGTTACAAATTTACTCTTGAAAAATGCAAGTACTGAGTAAAGATCTTCCAAAGAAAAGAATTCTGGCAAACACAACGTAGTTGGTAATATTATTTTTGATCTTTGAAAGGGTCATGGATGCTCACTACTAACGAGTTCCATTATAGGATGAAGTAGCTGTTCAGTGATCCCACTTATCTCCGGTTGATATCACTTGGTAATGAATACTAACTTGGAAGCAATCAAATCCCTATAAACCTCTAACATGAAGCATTTTCTATAGTTTATAGGCATTTGTCGACTTTAGAAAAATGTTAGGCTACCAGGTGTCTGTAAAAAAATAACTTTCACTATGAATAATTCATCAGAAAACATAGAATTGAAGCTTCAAAATATAGTAAACATAGAAAACCAACGTAAATCATGTTTATAATAAAACTTGTCATTTAATGACTGGTTCGTTTAACACTGACTTACCGGAGAATGTAATCAATCCTTTACCTTCTATAGGAGTCCATCGAAGATATGTATTTGAAATATTAGGTGATTCCAAACACAAGAATAGGATAAATGAAGTCACATAGCCGACTGTTTGTCCGACAACATTGCATGTAGATGCCCAGCCCAGATTTTTCCTATAATTGAGAAAAATAATAATAAAGGATGGCATGTCATCACAAAAAGTGTAATTCTCTTTTAAGTTCGTGTTCGTCATGGACTGACATTATTTGGAGGAAAATTCGAAACCTGGAAGCTCTGGACAGTTGTATCGTCCTGTTTCAATCTTCAGGTTCCGTGGCCAGCACAAACCCGAAGGTTCTGGGTTACATCTTGGCGGGGTCATGGGTACGCACTGCTAAGGAGTCACACACTAGTACGAAACAGCTGTTCACTGCTCTCAGGTTTTCCAATGTTCCTCCAACTAATATCAATCCATAATGAATACCAACTTGAAAAATCATTAGGTCCTCAGAAACCCTTAAAACGTAATTGCTACAATGACAACCATGACGAAATAAGCGTGTAAATGATTGTGAACAAGTAAAACAATATTAACAACTAGTTGTAGTCATGTACGATGCATTTATTCTATCGGCAAAAGGCTAAATTGAAGTGCCATAAATTTCATTATCATGAAGTTTATTTTTTTATGCCTTAGTTAGTAAGCATTTAGCATGATAGTTAAATCGTTTTTACCATCTAGCTATTCTTTTGTTAAAATAACAGAGTTGTACAAGTGATTGGATATAATTTGAAATTTTTAACGGTGGATTCTGTGAATTCAGATGTTATGCTTCGGATGAACCATTATCGACTGAGACGTGCACTACACATACCAAGCCACCGCGTACCTCGACTTCCAGTACTTTAAGAGAAGCAGGATTATGTTGGAAGACGGCCGAAGGTGGACAAACCAAATTACCACACCAGTGCATGAAGTCTCTGACTCGATTTGAAGCATGTACGGAAGTGTAGACTGTCTGGAAAGGGTCCTCAAGACTATAGGAAACAGTGTTCGACGACACTTGGTGACATGACTGAAAATCGATTGCAATGACGTCTTTCAGGGCTAGAATGTTTGCAACAACCGTTACATTCAAATTGTTTGTTCTCCTATCCTCCACTGTCTACTTTGATATCAGTCTTTTTTTATTCACCTGTTCTTTGGATGCTACTGTGAAGTGTGGCAACTTAACCCGATGCTCTTGTGTGCGATGTCCCAAGTTGCTTCGTCTAGTTACCATTGCTTCCTGCCAAATGGCTCCGAAGATATTATATTATACGCCTTGCAGTGAAGTGTTTAGTATTGCTCCAACTAGTCACCAAATTTCATACTTTAGTGACGAATTTGTTCAGTTGTTTTCTAAGTGGATTCCATCTTCGTTTATGCACTTCGTAATCACTTTTATTTTATAATCGCTTTTCAACAGTTAAAAACTTCAGAATATTTCGCTTTTAGTTTATTTTGGTCTTTCAGAACCCCAGTTTTCCTCTAATAGTTACTTTTTACCATAGTGTTTGCTGTTTATCGTTCCTATCAGTTTGACTCTTTTGCCTGTCTGTTTGTTACACGTTCAGTTGTACAAACTGTTCATTTATTCACACCAAAAACATCGTGTAGAAGTGATGCAGAAGTGATAACGATACACCGTTTACTCACTTTACACGTATACAGTAGTAAGGTTGTCAATTTAAGCTCTTGCATTCAATCATTATTAGCTTAGAATGAATATTATTTATTTTAAACCTATTGAAATTGATAAACTTTGGAACTTCTTAACAGATTACGTTTTCAGTGAACTCTTTCCTAGTGAGCCTATCAAAGGCATAAAAGTAAATCTTAATACATATAATTTTTAATATTTAAACTGAAGTAAGATTGCAGTGACTTTAAAAGTCACTCTAAACATTTCTGAGACAACCGATGAAGTTTCCTTATCTTAAATATTGAGATCTGATCAGTCATTTCAGCAGCCGGGGGCCTTTGAAGTTACCTGTATATTTGCAAGGACTTTAAAGGCCATTCTTACAACTAATAAAATAACCAATCAAGTTTCAGTGTTATAGTTTAGAGGGAAGTGTTTCATAAAATAAAGAAAAGTATTTGCTTGTTTCAGCAGTTGCTATGATGAACTTTGGAGTCGCTTAAAAGGTTGTGGTCTTATATTCAAAATGGTTATCTTTTTCGAAAATTTAACAAAGTAGTGCAGGACACGTTAGACCATAAATCATTTCGTGGCCTTGTTTTTAAAACGTTTGAAAGAATACTATTCCTGAATACCATGATGAAATATTAATAAGATTTTGATAAAAGTATAGAAATGGATTTTGTTGGAAATTATCCACTTGAATACGTTTTAGAAGCCCAGGTTCTCCCTGATGCCGGAAGTAATGATGATCTTTAGTTGCTGAGTAATTAAAATAGTTTATTCCAAAACCATATCATCTAAGAATATGAGAGATTTCCTATCTGAAGTGTTCTTTTCCAACTGAGGCTTAAACTATATGCGCACATGGCACTCATTTACTGAATCACGATTTATGATCCCAACCTATCTGATGAGATTGGTGCAGTCATGCATAGAGGAACATGATTGGTTGTTAGGTTGACCTTTAAAGTCAATCGGTTTTTCACTTGAAATTATGAGTAAAATGTTTCAGAAGCGACTAGTAGTACCTGAAAAGAGTGAACAAAGAGGCTTTTAAATTGTTTTCTAACTATGTTTCTGAGAATATATTTCTGAAGGTAACTGAGTCTCCAGTTCAGTATGATTACAAGACATATTGGGAATGCAAGAGATTAGTTCAGTGTTTCGAAGGTTTTTAAAATAGTAAAGGTGTAGAAAATAATTTGATGAACAGATCTCGAAATCATCATCGAACCTTTAGTAAACGTGAATCAGTTCAAGTTGCGGAACTATGCATCACCGCAGAAATACAAGTGGAAAAGAAAAATCTTTATTATTATTATTATTAGTCCCTTGGGTTCCTAGTGGAACATAGGGCTTCAGTAGCACGCCTCCAGTGACCTCTGTTCTCTGAGATCTTTTGAACCTGGCTCCACGACAGCCCAGAAGCTCTCATTTCCTCCTCGCACGACCTCCTCCATGTCACCCTCGGACGTCCAACTCGTCGCTTCCCATGGGGATTCCACTCGAGGGCCTGACGCGTGATGTCCTCCGTCGGCCTTCTCAGTGCATGGCCAATCCATCTCCACTTCTTCCTGCATATTTGTTGCGTGATAGGTTCTTGGTTGGTTCGTTCCCAGAGTTCCTTGTTGCTTATTTTTTCTGGCCATCTGATCTTCAGCAGCGAGCGTAAGCAGTTGTTGATGAATGTCTGTAGTTTATTGGAAATACCTTTCGTGACGCGCCAAGTCTCTGAGCCATACAAGAGCACTGACTTGACGTTGGTGTTGAAAATCCGTATCTTGTTCCGCATGCTGAGTGCAGAAGATCTCCACACTGGTTTCAGGCTAATGAACGCCTGTCTTGCTTTTCCGATTCTGACTTTGACGTCCTCGTCCGTCCCGCCTGTAGTTGAAACAGTGCTTCCTAGATAAGTGAAGGAGGTTACTTCCTTTAAGTTTCTCCCGTTGACAGTGATTGGAGTTTGTTGTTGTTGTTGTTGATGGTGGTGGTGCGGTATCTTCATCACTTCTGTCTTCTCTATATTCACCTGAAGTCCCGTCTTAGCTGCCTCTTCTGCCAACTTGTTAGTTTTTGCCTGCAGATCTTCAAGTTTATGTGACATTAGGCATAAGTCATCGGCGAAATCCAAGTCTTCTAGGTTCTTTTCCGTCGTCCAGTGTATCCCCCTCTTCTCGCTGCCTACTGTTTGCTGCATGATCCAGTCCACCACAATCAAGAATATCATGGGGGATAGTAGGCAACCTTGTTTCACTCCTGTCTTCACTTCAAAGGCATCACTGAGCTTCCCATTGTGGATTACTTGGCATGTAGCATCTTCATATAGTTGTTGAATGAGGCGGATAAAGGTTTGCGGTACTCCGTAGTATTGAAGCAGTTTCCAAATTACTTCTCGGTCGACGCTGTCAAAGGCCTTCTCAAAGTCGATGAAGTTGAGGTGGAGAGGTGATTGCCATTCTATGCTCTGTTCTATGATGATACGAAGCGTTGCAATTTGGTCTGCACATGATTTGTACTTCCTGAAGCCTGCCTGTTCCGGTCGTAGTTTTGAATCCAGTGCATCCCTTAGCCTCTCCAGGATGATGCGGCTTAATATTTTACTTGGGGTGGACAGGAGAGTGATTCCGCGCCAGTTCTTGCAAGCACTGAGGTCTCCCTTCTTCGGCAGTTTGACAAGGTAACCCTTCTTCCAATCGTCAGGTACCTTCTCTTCCTTCCACACCTTCTGCAATAGTGGTGTGAGCATGGCCGCTGTTGTCTCTGCATCTGTTTTCAGTGCTTCTGGCGGTATTCCATCTGGTCCTGCTGCTTTCCCGCATTTCAGTAGCTTTATGGCGTTCAGGACTTCCATTTTCGTTGGGGGATTAATGTTCACTTGTAGTTCAGCGGCTGCAGGTGGTATTTCTGGACGAAGTGCAGGTGGTGGTCGATTCAAGAGCTTCTTGAAGTGGTCGGCCCATCGTTTCCTCTGTTTCTCTTCTTTTGTAATTAAATTTCCTTCTTCATCTTTTATTGGTTTCATCTGTGTTGGTCTCTTCCCTGATAGCAACCTGGTTATTTGATACAATGTCGTCAGGTCTCTCTTACCTGCAGCCTGTTCTGCTTCACTTGCCAGTGTTTCGTAGAAGTGTCTTTTGTCTTTGCGTGCACTCTTCTTCACTTCTTTGTCCAGTGTTTTATACATTGTGCTCAGTTCCTCTTGTCGTTGAGCATCCTTGCACTGGTTTATCTTCTGCTTCACCATCCTCCTCTCCTCTATCAGCTTCCAGGTATCCGTCGAGATCCATTCCTTGTCTTCTTTCTTCTTCCTTCCTAATACTGTTGTGCAGGTTTCTTTCCACATAGCTTTCAAAGACTTCCAGTGTTCTTCCACACAGGTTTCTTCAGGGATGTCCCTCGATGTCTCCCATTTTGTCTTGATGGCTGCTTTGAAGATCTCCTTTGTAGTTTCATCCTTCAGTTTCCGAGTGTTGTACTTGGGTTGA